TTATCGGGAATTTTTATCTCAACTTGTCGAGTGTTTGGACCCAACTCGTCGAGTTCGTTTGGAATCAACATTTTCGCAAAACACGAAAGTCGTCCGAAATTGTGTCTAGTGTTCAAAACATTTTGAATCTCGTCAATCAGAGTTACGAGTCATGAGATATGGCTAAAACACTGACAAGGGGTCAAGTTGTCCAACAACATCCTTCTTTCTTCAAAATCCAATATCCAAGCTTCCAATCGCCAATTCTGCTTCGTTTTCCTTCCGATCATGTCTTTGTTGCTGAAATGAGATTTTAAACTAATTAAGCATCTTTTGTTCATTAAATTAGATAAAATCAACATAAAGTATTAAGATAATGAATGGATTAGATAACTAAATATGCCCATATCATACACATTATATGGAGCAGGTTTATGAAGATGAAGAAAACATAGTAGAAGAAGAAGGGGCATCCACTTTATGTCACTAACGACTTAGGTATATGAGTAACAAAGGGATGAAGATGCTAGCCTCTAAAGGGAAGATTCCAGACTTGAAGAATGTGACAGTTGGGTTTTGTTCACCATGTGTTCTTAGTAAACAAAAAAAGGAACTTTTATAAAGATAGGTCAACCATCCAAGGCCTAGAATTTGGAATTAGTGCATTCGGATGTATATTGTCCCACCTCAGCTTCTTTAGTGGGGGGAGGGGAGTCCAAGTACTATGTTACTTTTATTGACGACAACATAATAAAGGCTTGGGTTTATTTTTTGAAGAACATGTATGAGGTAGTTGGTTTATTTAAGAAATATAAAGCACTGTGGAAAATGAAACAGGTCTCAAGATTAAGTGTTTAAAGTATGACAATAGGTTGAATATAATAGCAGGGAATTTGTTGATTATTGTGTTGAACACGGGATCATGTTGAGAGGAAGAATCGTACATTAAACAAGAGGGAAAAGAGCATGAGATTACATAAATGGCTTCCCAAGATGTTCTAGGAAGATTCAGTGAGTACAACATCATATTTAATCAAAAGAGAACCCTTAGTCCCCATAGGGTTCAAATTTATAGAAAAGAAATGGAATGGTAATGAGATTTTTCTCAGACACTTAAAAGTGTTTGGTTGTGTCTCTTCTGTCATAAAAGAGAAAAGCTCGAGGCTAAGGCAAAAAAAGATATACTTTTATAGGCTACATATTGGATTAGATAAGTTATCATTTTTGGGATAAACAAAACTAAAAGGGTTACTAGAAGTTGGGATGTAGTATTTAATGAAAATGCCTTATAAAATGATGAACTTGTAGAAAGCCCTAGCAAAGAAAAACAACCATAAAAGAAGAACCAAGTTTAGTTCGACGAAATTTCAAAAGGTGAATTCATAAAACCTATCATCACTAGTGAGATAAGTGAAAATTTAGAAAGCAGTGGGAGCCCAAAAGAGGAGGTATAATTTGGAATGAGTGGGAGTGACACAGATGAAGCAGTCATGGATATTGAATCCGCAGGTACATAATTAACAACCTCGGAAGTAGTTGTAAAAGGACTCTATAGATCCACTTGAGTTAGCATACCTCCGGTACAGTATTCTCCATCTGCAAACTACTTGTTTCTGACCGAAAATAGCCATATTGAATGTTATCCAAAGCCTTTAAGGATGAAAGTCTCTATACATTTGAAGAAGGCAATGGGAAAAATGAAGCTCACTTGACAAGAACCTAACTTGGTCCTTGGTCAAGTTACAAGCAAGGGAAGAATACGATGCAAAACAAGTGGGTTTTTTTGGTCAAAGATGAGATAGATGAAAACAAGTGGTATAAGACTTAATTGGTGGTTGGAGGGTTCCAACAGAAAATAGGGTCGATTACAATAAGATCTTATCTCCAATTGTGAAGATGACTACTATCTGATTGGTCTTGGCCATTATGACTGAAAAAGATCTCCATTTAAAATAGTTTGATGTAAAAACGACTTTTCTTTATGATATCTTGGAAGAGGACATTTACATCGTACAACCAGAGGGTTTTCGTACAGGTGGAACAGAAAATATGGTATGAAAGCTAAACAAAAGCTTGTATGGGTTGAAGAAAGATCCAAGGTTGTGGTATATAGATGACATGTTAGTTGTTGGGTCAGACATGCAGGAGATCAAAAAGCTTAAAAGCATCAATATAGGGATTTAGATATGAAAGTCATTAGGGGCAGCTAAGTTTATATTGAGCATGAGCATTGCCAAACACAAATATGAGTCATGTAGTGGGAGTTCTTAGCCGGTTTATTTCTAACCTAGGCAGAGAGCATTAGGAAGGACTCTAGTGCCTGTTATGCTACTTAAAGGGTACTTTTAAGGTTGCTTTATGTTTTAGAAGAAAAATGGTAGTTTTGTAAGGCTTTGTTGATGCAGATTTAGAGGTTGTATGGATTCGAGAAAGAGCATAATTGGGTATGTTCTCACAATTAGGGGTAAGAAAACTAGTTGGATGTCTAGGTTATAGAAGAGTGTTTCTCTTTCAACCACAAAAGAAAAGTACGTGTCAATTGTAAAATCCATTAAGTAGCTCATATAGTCGAAGAATTCCCTATCATGACTTAGTATGCAATAAGAATATTATGTATTGTATTGTGAAAACTAGACTACATTTCAGTAGGAAAAATAATATAGTGTTTCACATTAGGACGAAACACACTCATATGAGGTATCACTTTATTCGTGAATTGGTAAGTGATGGTACATTGAATATGAAGAAAATCCTTAGTACGAAGAATCCAATAAACATGTTCACTAAGGTCGTGACTATAGAGAAGTTCAATTTATGCATGAATTGAATTTTGTCCAAGTACTTAAAGCGAATGCACGAACTATAGAGAGACTAAGGTTATGACAAATTATTCATCAGCCTCCAAGAGGAAGATTGTTAAGTGTGGAGACTGATTTATTTCGAAAAATGCTTATAGAGCAAGTAGTCAGGAATGTTCATGATTGGAGAAGTTTCTTATCTTAGAGTAGCGGCAATGCTTATGCTTGGAGCGGGAGCAACAATAGTCACCAGGACCGCTTATGCTTGGATCAGGAGTAGTCAACACTGCTTCAGCAACCAATAATGGTTGGGCGGTTTGTAGTGCTCGATAAACAGGGCACAATCCATAATTTTCTGTTGCCAGTCTCCGCTAACAATAGTTGACTTAGAGGTTCTTGGATAGAAAGTTTAACACGTGGAACATATCTATCAACGTTGACTAGGGCTCATGATGTTTCCGCACATAAATATTGGTTAACCGCTCTATAACCAGTCTCATTTATTGTAATCCTAATGTACTGCACAACTAATGACTTTACTGAAAAAATAATAAATATATTTTATTTTTTGCGTTTATTACTCTATGTAAAATCGTTTATTGTTTATCGGAGTGCTTAATTTACCTAACAAATATATTGTGATAGCCAATCTGCATAGGCTATGTCAAAATATTCGAACATGAATACGCAACCTAAACATATCAAGCTTAAGTATCACTTATAAGAGACTGGATTGCAGCATGAAAGATAAGGCAAGACTTCTGTAGGACTGAAAATCAACTTGTTGATTTGTTCACGAAAGCACTCCCCTAAGTACAATTTGAATGTATTCGAGCAGAAACTAGAATTTCCATCTATAATCAAAGGGGTATTGAAGAGTGATTTAAAGTTGCTCAGTAAAGTATGGAAAGACTCTCAAGTCATTTATGTTTGATTAAGTCTACTTTAATGGATAATTTTGGTCAAATTAACTTCTTAGGGTTTTCCATATATTTTGTAGGTATTTTAGCTTTTCCCTGGTGTAAGCTGCATATATAAGTCATTTATGTTTGATTAAGTATGCAAATTATACAAGTTTTTAGAACGCAAGTACATTCTCTCTTATCCTTAGTGTGTTCATCCGCTATCTAATACTTACTTGGAGCTATTTAAGCTCTCAAATTCCGCTCAAACATATATCAAGCTAAACTTCAAAGTTATCGAATCAGAATAAATAATGGCTTAACACTATTAAGTCAAGTTCTATTGTCTTTTCCATGCATTTTTCAATGTAGCTAGCTTTACATAAGCATAACCACTTCATTAATTATCATAATGAAAAACAATCCCACTTCCTTAAATATCACATTAAAGGGGATTTTGTTATTATAATATTTAAGTCAAACATGTATAGAAAAATACTATAACTAATTAGTTAATATATTTATTTATTGACTTATAAGAAACCACACCCCATATGTTGTTATTTTGCCATGTACATCGACAAACTCGTGTTAGTTCATTAAGTGTAATACCATAAAACATCATATCTGAATCTTAAACATCTTTAAGTTACCTTGATTTCAACGCCAAAAAGGCGAAATTTCTAACATCTTTCAACTTTCTTTATATCTTTCGAACAAAGCTTTACCATTTAAACCAGGATTAATTCTCTCCAATAATGGATCAAACTATCACATCCATTTGTGGGATGAGACATCGTTTTAATTCCAAGAATAAGAAACGAAACACAAAAAGAATTAATGATGATGCCTTCATACATTATTGTATAATTCGTACATCTTAATTAATGAGTTTGGTTTTCGTTTAGTAAAATAAGATAAGAATCAAAATGAAACAAAAGTAGAAGAATGATTCCGTATTTATCAAACAAACAAATCATGTGAGATTGTAAGGATTAAAGATTTAAGAAAGAAAAAGAGGAATCTAGAATTGAGAGAGAAAAGAAAATTAAAAATAGAAATGATCTTGCTTGTGATTCGTGAAGTTCCATTGTTACCTTAATTATTCCTCCCTTTATCATCCCATTTGCCCCCATTTCATCCGATTCCGATTCCAAACTCACGTTCAGAGCAACGTGCCATTGGATCAATCGGAGTATTGGAGAAGTTAAGCATTATGTTCAAATCGATCGATTGAGATCATTTTGAAATCAGAAGATATGTTAACGAGTAATTAAAACGAAATGAGATTTAATTAATCGAAATATAATTCATTAATAAATCAATGTCGAAATTTTTGCCTGCAAGCTTGACAAGTGATCTCCATACAGGTTGAATCAATCCGGCGAGTTGCCCTTTCTTTCATCTTCTCCACTCTCTCGACCTCCTCTCGTGCTCGTTCCCACATGTGTCGTGCTCGTGAGAATTCCGATTGCGCTAATTCCATCTCGCGCTTCGTCATCTCTCTAACACGCTCCGCATACGCTTTCTCCATTGACGCTATCCGAATTTGATCCGCCGCTTGCCATTTCAGCGCCTCAACTCTTCCGTTATCACTTTTAGAGTCTCTCCGATCGAATTGGAACGAATCCCCCAGCATACAGTGATCCGCCGGCGACTGGATTGGCCGGAGACTAATCGATAGCTGCAGGTCGAGCGACGGACCAGCACTCTCTAAAGAATTAAACTGGATGCTCTCAGATCGGTATCTCATCGAATCCGACTTCCATGACGCCGGACGTGAGTACGGTCCTCTTGTGTGCGGCGGCGTTGGGAGGAGTTGTAGTTCCCTTTGATCATCTTCCATTTTAGAGAGAGAGAGGGGGAGAGAGAGAATGTGTGTGGGTGTGGGTGTGTGTATGTGTGTATCTGTGTGAAATTGAAGGTGGTAGAGAGAGGTCCTCTTTATATAACCCATTTCGTCAACCGGAAATTACAAAAGTACCCTTGGTTGCCATGCAAAATGACACAGATTTTCAAAATGACGAATATGCCCTCGAACGGGTTTATTGTTTCCATTTTAGTTAGTTGACGTGGGATGGATCTTGTCCAATTGAGTAAGGGAGGGTACATTTCCGTTGTACTGGGATAGGGTTTGAAAGAAACGGATCGCGTTATTTGGCAATAAGTGCCTTTTTGTTTTTTAATAATACTTTGTTTAGAAGAAAGGAATTATTATTTAAATTTGATAACTATTATAAATTTTATAACAGAAATAATGTATATGTGTTTGTATTTCTTCTATACTATTTTCGTTTCCTTTGAAAAAGCTTATCCTCTTATTAATATTATTATGTGGTTTAAAAATATGAATGAAACTTTACATGTTATGTGTTAGAAATATGAAAAATGAGAAACTTTAACTTTTTAAATATTTTTCATGAGGATGGTTCATGTGTTTTGTTTGATGTAAGAATTTTCTTTTGGCTTTGTTATGCTTTACATGATAAACATCTTCGTGTAATAAAATAAGCATGACAAAATATACTTTTAGGATATTATAATGGATGACGGAACTTAGATCTCGAAGTGTACAAACTACAAAGGGGTTATTACATTTGAAGTCCCAATGACATGTAATAGGCAAGTAACATGTGGTAGAGACGTATATGATTACGATATGTTTCTAATTCCACATTAATTTGAGTTTCATTAGACATAATGTTAGGTGTGCATTGAGGAACTTTGTTACCATTTTCTTTGAAAACTGTTAGCCTTTAAATAGTGTTTATTCCAACAGACGAGATGGATGTGTCTTTGAAACAAATGAAAACTTAAATCTCTTCATATTATCGGAATTAACACACATGAATTATTGTATTTTTGTCTACCACGACACGAATTACTTTTCTTAACCCAAACACGACACGACATGCTACCGTGTTTTTGTTCGTTAATAGAACAAGACTCAATAAAAAGTGGATAACACGAAAAAAAAAACAATAACCGTTTCCATAATGTCATACATAAGTTCTTGTAAACACGATAATTTAAACACGACAACCACGAGTAACATGACAAAAAATAACATAAAACAACATCGAAGTCTACCAAATATAAACAACTTTTGAACACAAACACGAACACAATGTTTTGTGCTATTCTTGTGCTATTAGTGTGTCAACTTTTAAACACAAACACAACACAACATGACATCGTGTTTCTTATGGCACGGACGCAAATTCGAAATACGATTTTGTCCAAATTATGTTTCGTGTTGTGTGGACTTTTGACACCCCTATATATGAACATGTTTTAAAACTTGAATTTAAGCATTTAGTTACAAACTTTTATATATATATATATATATATATATATATATATATATATATATATATATATATATATATATATATATATATGCTCACTAGAAAATACATGAACCCTAGAAGATGACATCCGATGAAAGCATGACATATTTACCATTTTAGGTATTGAGTGCTATTAAAAGTTAAGGGCAGTTAGCCTACCATTATCAAATAATCAATGAATTAAACTATATTTGTCCTTTTATGATTAGTAAAATAAAAACACTAAAACAGATATTTTAAAATTTTTATTCAACAAACATATTACACATGCATAAATGATAGTTTTTCTATGCATCTATATACTAATATTTGGCAACAGAAGCAATTAAAATAACCCTAAATGTACATTCAACCTAGGATCCAAGTTTTACTAGTTATAGCAACCTACTTTCAAAACTACAAAAGTAATACTACAAAGAGAAAAAGAATTACTAACCTTTAAGAAAATTCAAATTTGCTTCTTGTATACTTGTAGATCTTGAATTCTTTGACATTCTTGACAGATGTTGCTCCCAAATTATCTTAGTGCAAGGAAGAGAAGGCATATTTGAATACTAAACACTAGAAAATAAGGAGAAATGAGAAAGACTGGCAAAAGTCAAATTATCTTAGTGCAAGGAAGAGAAGGAACGAAAATTATGAAGGCATATAGGGATTACTTATATCTGAGAAAACTTATAGAGAAGGCATATTTGAATTAATTAAATAATAAGATTTAATCTTAATTCAAATCTCAACTTTATCAGCAGCCATGGACAAAAATCCTAAAGGGATTTATTCCTTTAAAACTGTCCAAACCTTCTAGGGTTCCAAAATATTTCACTTGCTCAACTATTGAAAGATTAATATTCAGTGTCCATACCTTTAAACAATTTCCAGATTAATTCTAATCAATTCTAGTTAATTCTAATTTAGTTTCAACTAGTTTCTAATTAATCTATCAAGCTCTGACAAATTAATAATATTATCTAACTCTCTTAAATCCTTTTCTAGCTATTATATCTCTTGAGGGAAACTCCAAAAGAACTTTGTTTTTATTCTCAAAGTTATACCAATTAGTTATGATATTGGAAAATCGTTTCCAACAGTCTCCCACTTGGATAAGTCATCTACTACTATTGGTCGCATAACATTTGAATAACCAACAAAGCGTACCTTCCACGACATATGTTGAACTCTGATCTAATCAAGTATCAACCCTTAGATAAGTGATCAATTATTCATTTGTTTCTATAAGATAACATTGTGAACTGATTCAAGGATTACGAATCAACATAATAGTTCAACACTTTGTTTCTTGATTTCCAACTTATGATGATCAAATCAGACTACTAATTGAACACATCAATTTAGTCCAGGCTAGTCCAGGCTTGACTTGGAACACCTTGGCAATCAGAAATATTTCCTTCGGGTTCATGCAAACAAAATCCGCTTGGGTTTTGATGTATTCAACTCCTCTTTTGGTTAGGGTATATTGAAGAAAATCAGTTTTCATGAAATTTCTTATCTTGTAGTTCTTGACACGGTGTGGTCTATCATTAGACCATATATTTACCAAACTTTGAAACATGCTTAGCATGAAAAAGAATCAGACGTTCAAATTCCATTGGGAGTCTTTGATCATTAGGAAGGATGAGATCAAATGGTTCGAATACTGGGAAAAATTTGGAGTTTGGAGAGATGGGTATGTCCCAGTAACCATCTGATGGAGGTTTAACATATGTTAGGATTGGTCGATAATCATCATCTAGAAGCCTGCGGGTAGGATTTACCCAAGACTTGATTAATGACTCGTCCATCATTGTATCGAATCCATGTGCTCTCCAATTTTGTTCAGCAAACTTTGCGGCCCTCCAGTCACGTTTCTTTTGAAGAGTGGATGGGGAGTCATTGGATTGATCAGAAGACATCGTGGGTGCTAAGTTTTTGAATTGAGGAGGAGTCTGTTGTTGAGGATTCTGTTGAGGATCTTGTTGCGGGGGAGTTTGTTGTGGAGATGCTTGCGGTGAAGACCGTGGAGTTGGTGGTTTGTTGTGCTCTTCGGTAGGAGGAGGTTGAATTCTTGGAGGTGTTTGATGTTGATGAACCGAAGGGGTCTTTGATTGTGAAGGGTCTTGTTCTTGTTCTCTTCTTGGAGTTCCTTCACATCCCTCTTTTGAGGAAGAAACCTCCTGTTGCTCCTCAAACCATTGCTTGAGCCCATCGATCTTTTGAAAGGTTTCATTAAACTGAGTCTTCATCTGTTCACAAACTTGAAGATTGTTCGGGATTTCCTTTGTAAGGTGGAGAATTTCATCAACACTCGACTTTGCAGTGAGTGATCGCCGTAACCCATTGATTGTGTTTTGCAAAACCACAAGAACATATTCGTATGCGGTATGGGTTTCTTCAACAAGTTGTTTGGAATGACTTGCTTGTTTTTCAAGAGCTTGATTGAAGTCATTCTTCAGTTCAGTTATATCCTTGATGAGTTTTTCAGCAGTTGAGATGAACTCCTTGTGATCTGCATTTCTTTTATTGTCCAGTTCCCTTATACCCATTTCAACCCTAACAATCATCCGATCTGCGGCCATTCTGTCCCTTGTTTCCAATCTTTCAACACGGTCAACGAGTGACTGCGGGGTTGCAAGTTCAGTATTCTATGGTTGATTGGTAGAGACTGCGGCCAAGATTTGGGCGATTTTGGTTTGCAGACTAAGGAACTCTTTTCTGCACACCGCAATCTTCTTCTTCTTCTTTTGTTTTAGTTTAGAGGTGGAGTGTTGAGATCCACTCAATTCCTCGTCATCAACTACCATGATGAAATCATCTGAGGCAAGGGGTTGTTGAACATCCTCAAAAGTGTCATCATCCAGACCGAACATGGGAGCTGAGCTTATTTCAATTGCAGTACCATCATCATTTGAGTCGTGATCTTCTTCATTAGGGGGAGGTTTAGAAGTGCCAAAAATGTTCTCCAGTTGATGAGAATTTCGAACAGTTGCCTCCATGGTAGAAATATGTTGTTGAATGGAAAGGATGTCGTGAAACATTTTGGCATTGTTGATGGAATCAACCCAGTATTTTGCTACAGTCTGAATGGCTTCCTCCTTCTACTGTTGTTATTGGATTTTTTGTGCTTTTCTCACTTGCACTTCTCTCTTGAATGCTTCAAATTTTCTGATTCCAGACCCGACATTTGGACGATATCGAGTCCAAGAATCATCAGAGTTGTAACCGTCAAATCCTTGTTTCACCGAGGTGTCCCTCGGGTTCGTGGTTCCTTACATATTTGTGCTCCCCACGCCTAGACCACTTGATCGTAATGTCAATGGAATAGGATTTACTGAGCTTCCTTGGTCTCCTTAACCTAAAGTCAAGTTTGTCCTCGGCTCAGTTCCGACAAGGGATAAGAAAGAAGTACCCTGCAGTGCAACTGGTGCATCGAGTATTTATGTGACACGAAACTAGATGGAGTTCAATTCCTCAGGATCAAATAAGTGCAATCGTGATGCCC